TCAACATTAACAGAAAAAAAAAGAAGTTAGTGACAACCAGTCACTCGCTAGATGTAGGGAGCAAGAAGACCATTAAGGTCAGAATCTCCAAATTTTAGGTTGTAGCAACTTTGAAAGCTTAAGTACAGAGAAGAGAAATAATGAAGACTTAAAGCAGTGAGATTGGCTCGGGGAAGGGAATATGACGTCTGTCATAAGCTGAATTTAAAGTGTCCGTGGGGCATCTAGGTTAAAAGGTCTAGCAGGTGCTTGGTAGAGAGCTGTGGAACCTTGAGCCTCTCCCCTCCACTCACCCAGTCCTATCCCCCACACAGTTTTATTGAAAAATATTGATGTTTTAGTCTACAAATTGAGGATAAAACCTAGCTAGCTGAATGTTGGGAAGATCAACAGAGATGAATGTCTATAAAGTTCTAAGACCCTGCCTGGCACAGAGTCAATCCTTAAATGGTAACTATTATTGTTGTTGGAAATAGGGCAGGTGAGTCAGAGTCCGATTAAAAAAAAAAAAAAAAGACCCACGAGACAGTTCTGTCCACAGTCTAAACAAAATATTTCACTGACTCAGCCCCAGGCTTACTCTTATCATAGTGCCTCCATTCTGCCCAGATGACCCCATCACACCAGCTTCCTTGAGATTCCCTAGTTCCTGGGCCCACCTGCTTTCTTCTTGGATTCTCTGATTCCTCCTTAGTTCCTGCGCTGAGTCCACCTGTATTTCATCCTCTCTGGCCCTACCTACCACCTCAGGCCTAGTGACCTCCACCTCAGACTCTTGGACCAAAGCCTTCTGCTGACTCTACTCTGGCCTTTCCCCCATGGATTTTCCAGAGCATGGTCAACACAGGAACCTGGCACTGCCAGGCACTTCCCCTCCCTGACCACTAGGACTTGCTTCTATCTGGTTGAAAAGAGGAGCAAGGAATGACAAATTCTTAGGCAGGAGAGATGTGGAAACTGACCAGCAGATCACGACATTCTGAATTCAAAAAGGAGGTGAGATAAGGTGGTACCTGCTGGGAAGTCCTGTCTTACTGCTGAATCGGTTAGGTAGAGTTGGAGTATTATCATTGAAAGAGGTGGAAAAACCTGGATGTGGCTAGTATTAATACGGAAAAATTGACTGAAAAAGAAAACAGAGATGACAGCAAAGAGGGCTCTTAAAAAAGTAAGGTTTAAGCCAGGCTCCTACAGGCACATTTAGCCTCCTGGAGCGGGGAGCAGTGGGTGTGAGTGGTCGGGCCACAGCTGAGGGGGTGGGGAGGATTAGATGTAAAGGAATGCCAAAGATGTCACCAAAGAGCAGCGATACAACAGGGCACCATGGGGTCCGGATCAGGGGGAAGCCAGAAGGTTGGGGAATTAGGAGAGGTTGGATGATGGTATTCCTCACAAGGATGAAGGCAGGAGAGAGAACATAAGGGGGACTGAGGGTCACTGAAGAGTCGAGGTTCCCCTCTGGCAGCTGGTCATTCTTGTAAATGGACAGCATAAGGCACAAAATCCTGCCCAGTAACAGATAAATAAGCACCTAGAAATGAAACCATCTTCTCTGATAACATCTTTTAAGACTGCATCTATGTCTGGCTTCACACATGGGTAGTCTCCACTTTCCTCCAAAATGAATTCCTGGAAAAAGCATCATAAAAGCCTGACTTTTCTCATAGGGAATAATAAAGACATCAGTTGCTGCCCTCCTGGTTGTGACTTGACATTAAGTAAATTAGAGATAAGAGCAAGAATATATCATAAAAGCAAAGATAAAATAATAAATATGTATAAGCATTTAAAACAGTAAAACTATGTTCCAAGTTTTAAATGGTAGAATTTTAGAGCAAAAGTGAACTTCAGAGCATGTTTAGTCTAATCCCTGCATTCAAAAGATGAGACTCATTGAACTACAAAGATTAAACCAGTTTTTCCAAATCAACAACAAAAACAAACCTATTTTTCTTGATTCCGAATCAAATAAATGCCTTCACAGCCTATTTCAAAGGAATCCCACAAAGTAAGCAAGATTATACTATGATATTGTATACATTGAATATATAAGGATATACAATTTACTTACAGTCAGTTTACAGAACTGAAAATGCAACTGTACTATATGATAATTTTGGATTATCTAACCTTAATATATTAGCTGCATATGTATATACAGCTGCCCATCCGTATCCAAGGATACGAAACCCTCAGATACAGAGGGCCGACTGTACTACACTATTTTATATAAAAAGCTTGAGCATCCATGGATTTTGGTATCTGCAGGGGTCCTGGAACCAATTCCCGTGAATACTGAGAAGCAACTGTACAATGAATTTTAACTTGCCTCTATAATCTCCACTTCAAAAAAAAAAAAAAAGAAATTCTTGGCCGACTCTTTACATGATACTTAGGAATGGAAAACAATCCAAATGTTTCACAATGAGGGAAAAACTAAGAAGGGAATGTAAATTTATTAAAATGTTACATAACCTCTAAGAATGATAAATACATGGACAACACTGAATCACAGAAATGTTTATTCAAAAAGTGATGAGAGAGAACTGAATACAAGCTAACAGGTGTTCAGCTATAAATTCAGGGAACAATGTAAATAGGTGAAAATTAAGTTTTATTGTATTCTTTTTTTTTCCCCCTGTAGAGTTGTTCCATGTCTGTAACATAAACCAAGAAAAAGCAAGCAGATGCATTAGAAACCTGTCAGGAAAGTTTGGAATGAAGCTCTCTCTTCTTGATAAATTCCACTGCAGCTAGAAAGAGGAGCAGGGGCTACTAAAATCAGTTTACTATTCATTTCTTTCAAGGAGAATGATTAGAGCACTTAAATATTCAAAGAATTCTCTTAAAACTCGAGTTTCCAAAGCCCAGAGAAAATAATCATTTCAATTCTTTCTGTTCATCTCTGTCTCATTGCTCATTACCTTCCTAACTCCAAATAAACAGACCAAAATCTACATGTCTCCAAGTGGAGAGAGAAGTCAGGGGGTGGGCCTGAAAGTTCTAGAGGAGAAGGAATAATAAGAACATTCATCCACCTTTGCAGTACTTTAAAACTTGCTTAAATTTATAACAAAAATAAACAAGTGAAACCAAATCAAAACAAAAAACTAGAGTGGACAAGTATGCCTGCAGGAAAAACAAACAAAGCACATAGAAAAGCACTGAGATAAGAGTGTGCTTAATGAGAAATGGGGTGTCTGACTGCTCATTCCAAAGACAAAAATACTATCTCGGCTCAACTTAATAATCCAAAAAGCAAAAAGAATTTTGGGGAAGGGAGGAAATGGTAGACTAAGGTACAAGTTACAATTAACAAGTACCAACTTGAAAATGACTGTTTTCACATGAACTCTGTAAGAATTAAAGTTATATCACGTAAGTGGATTTTTTTCAAGCCTATGACTCTATCTTTAATTTAGCAAAAAAAAGAAAAAGAAAAAGAAAAAGAAAAAGAAAAAAAAAGACTTTATTCTATGTATTGTCCAGATAATACAACAGCAAAATTTCAGTTACCCGTTATTTATCAAAAACGTAACTGTGCAAAATCGCAGATTGAAGGATGTAGAGTCCATCCATTCCTCTAATGGTCTAAATTTATGCTTAGATTAACACAGTGTGAGAAGATTTTGTACTTGGATTTTTCTGGGCTGTGGTCTGCCGTTCTCTTACCTACAATGAGGAAGAGGGGAAAAGCTCCCACGTGGCCACTCAGGAGGACGTGGTACGTTACAAGAAGGGTCACAGGCAGAAGTTTTGCCATGGTCTCAATATTTGGGACAGCTGCATTCCTGAGCACGTTTTCAGTCTTATCTACTTTGCGTAGATCGTGTAACTGGTAATATTTCCCTCTTTACATTGGCTTCGAGAAAGCCTGTGGTCAAACATGCAGTCTAATAAGCACATGAGGCTGGAGGGCCCGTCTGATAATAACCTCATCTTATTTTTCCTACATTAATTTTCTTCTTCCTCTTGATTTCTTCAACTGCATATAAAAAAATCTTACATTTCACATGTTTCTCCATAAACTACTCAATTCCTGAGCGCAGGTATAAATAAACAAATTCTGTTAATATATGTTAAAGAAACATGGACTCATGTCACCTATCAAACTGTTCTATATACTGTCCCAGAAAAAAATACTTCTAATGTTGATAATTTTTATCGACTCATCTCTGAAATTAATTCTCATAACAGGAAAGTAAAACCCAGCAGATATAAACGTGTGTATCTTATTATTTTGTTGGCCAAAATAGAACTGCCTAGTCTTGTTATTTTACTATCTCTACTACATATTTTATTCACAAATTAATATAAAAGAAAATGCCACACACTAAAATTTATGATATATTCTTCAAGTGAGGTCTGTTTCCCCTCATTTGAAGATCTTATGGAAACCAAAGGAAAACAATCATAACTTTCCTTTCCCAGGTCACACCGTGTGAGTAACTAACGTACCCCGTTAAAGTGAATGACACAGCAGAAAATGATGAAACAGCAATGATGCATTTGCTCCCATTTTGCAGTGAAAAGTGAAATGGCTATGATCTATGGTGAATAAAAACATATTGTGCCATTCTGTCCACTGCTTCTAGTCTCATGAAAATGTGCACTCTGTTCTGAGACAGATGAAAATTAAATCACAAACTAAAATTAAAAACAGGGAAATTTGCAGCAGATATTCTCCAGAAGACAAAATTCTGCCCATTAGAAAACAAAATCATTTATAATCGAAAAGCAAACCATGTCAATGATCTGAAGACTTTCAAAATGATAGCAGGAAAGAGACGAGGGCACAAAGCTGGATAAGGGTATGAAAGAAGAAAATCACTTGACTTTTGTACTTAAAGAGCTGGGGCTTTCCGGCTTTCCAAACCAAAAACTTAATTTACAGGAAACACACAAAGGCAATCCATATCAAACCATGGCCCTCAAGGCTTCCTGAGACTCAGAGCCGAGCACTACCAGGAGGGTGTGAGGTTACAGGTACCTTGGGTCACCCTCTGGGGTTCAGTTCCTCACAGTATGTTACTGTTAAATCAAGGGATCCTTTAATTGGACCTACAGAAATAAATACTCTATATGTGGGCTTTAAATCACCTCAGAGTAAGCAAATTTAAACCTGTATCATAGGGGTAACAAGTTTCCATTCATGTGCCTCAATTTTAAATTGCTGCAACTTATTTTCAAAGGCTAATGTAGGAAAAAAATGGAATTTCAAATTGAAAAACATTTATCTTCAAACTTAAAAAAAAATCACACGAACTGCTCATATTTTGCCCATATTTATCCTTCATTCTTTCAACCTGAGGTCACTCTTCCAACCGGTATTTAACCAGAGTGATCTAATCAAAGGGTAACAGAATGATTAACGCTGATGCAATGTAATTCTGGCCCTACCCTTGCCAAAAATATATTGGACAGATACAATTCCCTCTGAAAATCATGAAGTGCAATATGGTAAAGTGAAAATTAATGCATTTCTTATTTAGTGATGATGACTGGAAGAGAAGTTACACAAAGCGCACAGTATACTGGCATTTCCCACAGGCAGGTGGCTGGAAAACCAGTGTTGGGCATGACTGGTGTGAGCAGGTCAAAGCCTGAGCAGGTCACAAGTCATAGAAAGAGCCTCACGGCCAGGCTGCGGAGGCTGCAGTCAGGGAGGAGAGATAACGTGATCAGAGAGATCATCACACCGCCCCTCCTGCTGCACACACAAAAGCAGTCTGGTAATAGTTTACAGATAAGTCAGCTGACCCAGACTGGTGTCAGGTCTAAGTATGAGTCAAGCTCTCTTGACAACTTAAATCAACAGTTTACTGGGTGCAGTCAACCCGCCACTTATCTGAGTTCCCGCCACAATCTATTGTTTAGAATTAACTGAAACTGATTACATCTCCCAGGACACTGGGCAGCAGCCAGGCCATGAGACTCCTGAAGATAATTTGCCCCCTCTAAATAGTGCTCCAAATTAACTCGTGGGCTAGGCACGAACCTGTGGAACAACTCAAGACAGTATTCTTATGCTTTGATTTTGAAACACAGTGGAACAAGATAATGTTTCACATCATCCAGAAATTAGAGACCTAATTCTGCTTTTAAATGTAATTAAATTTTGTACCTGGGGGCCTAAAAAGGGGGAGGCAGTGCTGGGAGTCGGTACCATTCCACATACTGGTAACCCTTCTCAGATGTGGTGGTGGGTCCATGATAAAAAACATACAACGTCTGCTCAGAGGTGACGGGTGCTGGAAGTTCTCTCTGAACAAAACAGTCTTGTATATTGGCCCTTCAGAGTTCCTAACAGATTCTCTGTTACTTCTTCTTTTCCTTTAAGTCATTAAAGACTCCAGTCAAATGCAAATTCTATTTAGGAAAGAAGTTTCCAGGCATTATCAACCAATAGCACTTCAACAGGAAAATTAACTACCAGGGCAAGGATGGTGAGATGTTCCAGGAAAGCAAGGATTACAGTGAAGAGGAGATTGAAAGGTTGGAGGACTGGCACTACTGGAGTTGAATGAGGGTGTGGAGTGAATAAAGGAAGAAAGGTCTTGAAATAGTGATGAGATCCCTGGTCCTGGAAAAAAAAAAAACCCATTAATTTCAACCCCAGTGACCCAGTTGATAGCATCATCTTTAGAGACGTCAGTAGACCTCAATTAGTATGTAGCTGTTGCATATTCACTCTGTTTTCTCAATCTTTTAGAATATTCTGCCAAATAAACTAAACTTTTAACCTAAAGGGATATTTTCTAAAAATTTATAGAAAGAAAGTAAAACCGAAAAATATTTTCAATGTTTTTCTTCTTCCATACTGATTTTTTGTGTCTATCTTAGACTGCACTGGCTATGCACATTGGCTTCTACATAACATGTTATCATTTTTAAAAATTTATTATTTAGGTATCACGTAATGACTGTTCTGTGTTGTGATTGTGCTGCTACTGTTGTTACTACTAGTAGAAAAAGTACCGGCAACCTTCTAATGAGTGAATGAATACCCAGCACTGTCCCACATCTATCTTACAGCATCTTATCCCACTTAGGTCTCACAACCACCTTAAAAAAAGGGTATTATTTTCCTCATTTTACAGATAAGAAAGCCAAGGCCAGAGGTTAAGAAATTTGGTAAATATTACAAAGACAGTCGGGATTTAAATACATCTAGTTTAGCTGACTTTGTGCCTGTGCTCCAGGACTTTGATTTGAAGTGCTCCCATACACACCCTGCTGGGGAGGAATCATGACAGCACCTCACTTGAATATCTAAACCAAAGTGGTTAGGTCCATAAGATACTTAAGTTTAGCATTTCTTTCTTTGGCTCCTTTTTTTATAAACATTGTAATACCTGTGAATTTGCTAGAGTTCCTTTCTTTCAAAAAGAGCAAAACTTAGTTGAAGGTATGAGGCTATCTCCAACACAACCAACTTACACATTCCTGTCTGAAATTTTGGGAGAATGAGCCTTTTAGGGCAGTCAGGTAGTGCCATAAAAAACTCAGAAAACCTGAGACTGACTTGCCCATTAAATATATGTGAAATAGAAGCAAAACAAAACTTCTTAGGTCTTTGAAAACAAGGAAAGACAGACTGATTTCTAAGCTGCCTCCCAATTCCACATGTTCATGATCATATTTATTAATATGATCCAACCCCACATAACTTATTCCTTAATTTTTTTTTCTTTTCTTTTTTTTGGGGGGAGGTAAAGAATGAAAGAAAAAGAGAAGCATTTGTGTCTGATGAGGTTAGCACCACAGCTATGAAGACTTCTGAACAGTATCATTAAGGATATTGCTGTTAAAGAACCATTTTTACTTTGGAAATAAAATATTTGGGGGGTAGAGAAGGAAAGAGAAAACGGCCACTGTATAAATAAAATGCTTTGAAAAAAGGTGGAAGGGTAACAAAATCTAAGCTAGCAGTAACTTTTAAGATTCCTTCCTCAATGCTACTTGAAGTTAGTGAATTAAATGGCCATATTGCTATTTAGTATCTCCTAGTGGCCTGCTGGAGTATGAAATATTTTGAAGGATAGGCTTAAATAGATTATATTTTGCCTGCCACTGTATAGATGATGACTCCTATATACACCCAATTAGTAGAGAAAGGAAAAAAAAACCCTATTTTTTAAATCACCATAATGCACTCTGCACAAGACAGCAGTTAGTCACGTCCAACAGCAGACGCACAGGCTACCGCTACAACCAAGTGACTTCAAAGGCTTCCGGCAAAGGTATAATTTAAGTTTCACGTATCTAATCATAGCCTAAATCACTAATATTTATACCATCTAGCTTCCAGTCTATTTTTTTTAAATGCAAAACGAAACTCCTTTAGAAACTCCAGTTCTGTCCACAGCACCTGAGGCAGCAGTAGAAAGATCAGCACATGGGATCTTCACTAGGAACAGAAAATGATACATCAGCAATGTTGTAACAAATGGGCAACACCTACAGGCATAGGTCCTCTGTAAACTAAGAGAGAGAAAAAAAGAAAAGGAGCAACCCTACAATAGGGACAACAGAAACGAGTTAAAAACCAAACCCAAACCCAAACCAAAAGACACCTAACAAATAAGGCAGATGACAGAAGACAAAGCGAAAGAGAGAAAATAAGGGAGGCCAGGTATAACCCCTCTTTGGCCACCAAGAAAACACACCTAGTTTATGTGTGGATGTAATGTCATTTAAATTAAATAACCTGGGAATGTAGACCAAAGAGAGCTTACTTCTTATCTTTACAAAGAAAACCTTTATCATGATAAATAACACAAAGGTATGACTAGAAACAAAATAATAATGTATAAACTTGTATTTTTCAATTTTAGGCCATTAAAAGTTTGCTTGCTCCAAGAGTTCATTCTTACCAAAAGCACCCAATATCATAATACCTGGAAAAGGGTAGATAATCCTTCTATTTTATATCTAAGTTTAGTTTTTACTGCTTGGATAGAAGCTTATTCTATTAATTTGTTTTTCCTCCTTTCATTCATTATGTCTTTTTTCCCCCCTAAATTGAAGCATAATCACTTTACAATGTTGTGTTAATTTCTAGTGTACAGCATGGTTATTTGGTTATATATGTGTGTGTGTGTGTGTGTGTGTATATTCCTTTTCATATTCTTTTTCATTATAGGCTATTACAAAGTATTAAAGATAGCTCCCTGTGCTATGGAGTAGGACCTTGTTGTTTACCTATTTTATGTACAGTAGTTAGTATCTGAAAACCCCAAACTCCTATTTTATCCCTCCACCCCCTCAATATTTTAATAACATTTTTATAAGAATACAAGGTGACATGAAATAAACAGACATAAGCAAAAACTGCAACATAAACATATTTATGCTTTAAGGATCAACTTTGGTTCCAGCGTTTTCTTTTAGGTAATCAGCACCAAATTAGTTCATTTGGCATCAGTGTTTATTTTTTCTCAGCAGCTCTTATAGCAAAAAACAAAGATGAAACCCTATCTTGACACATAGTGTGGATCAAACAGAGCCTGTCTGCATGTACTTGACTAAATTATTAAATTTATTTCCCTTGGCTTGATATTATTTCTAGACAAATAATCTTGGGCTCTTTTTTTAGCTATCTAAACAAAGTCCTATTAATCCACACTTCTCTTAAGCAGTGAATATTCTACCAATTTGTTCGAAGAAGGTGTAAATTCACTCTGCCCTTTCTGCTGCTGTACCAAATACTGCAATGGCTTACCCAAGGGAGATTGTACAGAAAAAGCAGAGACTCCCGTTTGACCCCTGCTGGCAATCAATTTATGGCCTCAAGCACAGAGCTTGCTAGCCCTTGCAATTCTATATTAGCTTTTGTAACTCTTGATATTATTCTTATTCATATAAATGTCAAATTCCTATTGGTAACCTGACCTTAAAGTGTTCATAACCTCAGTTTACACCCTTTAAAACATCTCAGAATGGAGGAATTAAATTTTATATATTTTAAATTAAACACCCAAGAAAGGAAATTAAGAAGAAC